GCCTAGAAGACTAATTGTAAGACTAAGAGTGTCTTAGACATCCAAGAAAGCTCTGATGGAACAGGACAAACGGAATCCAAGAATACCTACAAACTGGGGATTTTTTAAGATATTTTGTTCATCGCAGTTTAATTAAGTTTATTCTAGTATAGAAATTCTGCCTTGTGAGAATATTTTACACGTCCATGGGAAGCTCGAACGAAGACGAAAGTAGCGAGATATCCCGTAGACCTAACGCACGAAATCTAGTGGGAACCTAGTAACTTGGAGTTCCGCCTTTCCCCCAGACACCGCGTCCGCCTAAAGAGATCTCCGCGGAATTAAAATCTCCGTTCTCTCCAACTCGGGCAAATAACGAGGTTCCACGTGAAAGTTTTCTTTTTTTTTTTTTTCCTCTTACCGTTTCGTAGCTCGTGCCAGCGTGCGGATAATCGTTTCGTAACTACCGTGTAACGCCATAAATCGCCGGTGATAAACGGCGGTTACTTAATTGCCCTTTGTAGCCTCTCTCCGCGACCTTTCGTCGCGCGACCATTTCGTATCCCCACGAAACTGGTCCCAGATTAACGTGGAATGCGGTTACCTGGCGAACTTTTGCAGGAAAACGGATCGTTCCGGCGTGCACGGCCGGCCATTAAGGCGGATCCGCAATCACGTGACGTAATTCGTGATTGCGGGGCAATTACGCTCGATGTTTGACAAAAGGATTAATCGTAGACGAGGCGTGGGGTTGTCGGTGTTATGCTGCACGGTGTGCACAGTGGGCTTCGCGGTGGTTGGACGATGAGGAAATAGAGTGCTGGTGGGAGAAGTCGTTAAGGTTGGTTTTAATAGATCGGTTGGATCGTTTTTGCGTTAATCAGGAGCGAGTGCCGCGATCGTTAGCGGAGGATTTAGATTCGAATACGAGAGCGTTAGATGATGCTATAGGAAGTTCTTCTTTTCTCCGTTTTTTCCCCTTTTGGTATGTAGGTACTTAGCGCTAGGGATGTTTAGCGGAGATGAAGCCTGGTGTTTTTTGTACGGCACAGTCATTGGAAATATGGCGCCAGCGCGTTGCTGTAGATTAAACATCGTTGAAATATGAATCTGGAAGAATTGAAACACATGACTGATTGAAAATACGAATCTTCGCGATCCGGGAAGTAAATTTCAGGTTAGAAAATGATCGAAACATACCTCTGGGCCATTTGTATCCTGTTAGGTGACTTTTAAAGTCTCTCCGTGATCCCGGTCGAGTCCATGTGTCTCTGACGATAGACCAGGATTTAGATGGCGCTTGTTGGAATTTGAAATGAAGGAAAATCTTCGTGCAGCAGTCGAATAATATTTCTCGGGGCACTCGCGCGTGATAGCTTGATCAGATGGTACCTTTATTCGCAGTTTCGCGAAGGAAGAAAATTAATCTGAGCGTAAAGACGAGAAACAGGGTCGTTCTGGGCATATCTCGAGGTGAATAACCGAGAGGAAAGCGTCTGACTGAGCAAGATGGAGCATAAAAGTGGATCGCAGTAAATCCAAACCTTGGCGAAAGAATATCATCGACTTTAAATTCCGATCAGACGCCAAACTGTTCTTTTTCGTCGATCCCGCAGCTTATTTTAATCCAACTATAAACCCTATGTAACCGATCCAAGACATACGAGTTTCTGCGAAAAAAAGCGAAGTTAAAAAGTATCGTATCTTTATTACATTTTAATTTCTGCTTTTTCTAAATCACTGTTTAGGAAATTGTTTTTTTAATCGTCATAGTTACGATATGAATTTTGGGAAAAAGTATCACCGTTGCGGATTTTCGGACCACCCTGTAGAACTGAATACAGTGGGCCCTGTTCACGATAAAAAGTATATAAATGTCAACGTAGCCGTTCTTCACCGTGGCAGTGAAGTTCAATGTACTTGAGCTGTCTGGTGATTTCCAACTTTTCCCACGATGCCCCATTCAGGCCCAGGCAACCGGTACATTTTTCGAAGATGCATACGTACGTCATCTAGCAAGGGTAAATCACATGGTTCGACCTAAAAAAAAGGATATTCCACGATTAGAGAATGAAGACATAGTATGAAGATATACTACCCAGTTTCTGATCTAATATTTCCATAGATCAAGAACAACCTACACAATAATCTCATATTTTCTAAATTCTAATCCACAATATTAATTTACAAAAGTGTAACAGTTCTTCTCATCTACTCGCAATAAATTAATACTCATCGCAATATACATTTAAAAAAAAAAAAATTATTAATTAATTATATTAATCGAATATAGTCTCGGTGTCAGTTAATTCTGAAGATTTCACAAACCCCGTTCCAAACACTCGGCTCCATCTATCTTCGGATTCGAAGATTACTTCATTGACGCTAGATCGCGACATAACCTCTCACGAGCGGCAAAACCGGGTCACCGCGTGGCGTTTCAAATCGCAACAAATTCACCCCCCGCCATCTATCTTCTAACGCCGGAAGTTAATCGTCGTGTATCGTGATAAGTCGCCGCTGTGGCTGGGCGAAAGGGCGCTGCTTAAGGCGGGAACTGTCAAAAGCCGAACTAACTTCGCAACGGTGTTAAAGATGCTAGTTGGTTACGAGTAACAGAGGCGTTAATTCGGCTCCGAGGTGAGACGGCGAAGCATGTCATCGGTCTCGAGCGTGACAGCCGCGAGGAAGCTGGTGCACGCGAGGCCGAGACGAAAGTTGGTCCCGTTCTATTATTAGCCGAGTTCCAGCCAAGTGCAACATCGCGATCGGGGCAGGAACGCATATGGCGAGCAACGAGCGAAGCGGAGCAGAGCGGAAAGGAGCGGAGCGAGGGAGATATTGTCGGCCTGATCTGCCTCTCCGCGTTGCTAGATACTTCTTTTTTCATCTGGGCCTCGATACGGTTGGAGATGGATGAACTGATTGTGTCGAGATTCGAGATTTATCGAGGGATATCTCGGGATAGAATATTTAGATCGGTAAAGGAAATTTGAAGTGCTGGTAAATATCCTCCATTACGATCAGTGATTTTTCTTTTTCAATTTCTAGGGATTTTTTGGAACTGTAAGGAAGAAATCGCATCGGCGTCGAGGGAAATGAAACTTTTCGTGGAAATAAGACTTTTCGTGAAAATGAGCGAGCAAGGAATTTTAGGTTAGGAGGAAACGCGGAAGGTTGGAAACGAATGTTTTATTTTCCTGCATGGACGCAAATGTCCGGCAAGCAAATTGGTCCACCGATAAATCCCACGATGCAAAAATACGGTTTGCTTTCTTTGCGCGTTCTTTACGAGCCGTGTTTGCATTTATGCCCGACACAGCTGCAAATCCTGAAAGAATAACTTCCTCTGCTCCGAGTCTTGCACCGCGAGCTCCGTATATTTTGCTCGGATCATTACCATTGCAACTTTTTCGTACATAAACCGTGGAGACCGGTTAATCACCCCGTGTTGAAAGTTAAGCTACGCTAATTACAATAAGAATACTCGCTAATAGTTCTGCCGTAAAAAATATCCAACCAAAAAATTGAAGAAGGAAAACAATTATAATAAAATTGCAAATAAGCACTACATAATAACCTCAAATTGTGCGAAAAGTTTATCGAAAGAAATCATTGAACTATTGGTATAAATCACAATGGATATTATAGGCATATTCTAAAATACAAAGTGGATACAAATTTTGACCACTTCAGTGAACGAAAGTTAATAATTATGAATTTTGATGAAATGAAAATAATATTCGTATACAGCAAAAATTCTGGCCTGAAAGAACGCTGGAAAAAGATGTGATAATCGCGATTTGAAAGAATGAAAAAATCCGCCACTTTCGCCTAGGAACTTTCTCTTTGGATCACCCTATAGAGTTTCAGTGCGCGCGAAATGCAAAAACCGCGTGCGCGCACGCACGTACAAGTTCATCGGACCAGTTGATTCACGTCTGCCTCGTGGGGAATTGGAAACCATCAGGGCTGCCCGTTTGTTTATACGATATTGTTATGCTTCGCGCGAAGTAAAAGCACGGGCTTTCTGCTGGCCAGACACACGATATTCGTAATAAACGAAATTCCCCATTGCATGCGCGGAACCGACCGTTCGACCACAGCGAAACGTTAGGCGAGCCAATTCTCTTGACTTTCTTTCGATCTTATCGTGTCTTGGGTAGAAGATAGTCGAAACAAAACTGTTTTCTACCTCAGATGATTGAGTGGAGATATTGTAATCAAGTCACGACGCCTCGCGTTGCTGGTGTATAGGCTAGGGACTTTTTGCTGGTGGATTTTTTCGTTGAAAAAAGCAATCAGCGTTCAATAATATTTCGTAATGTTTATTACATTTGTGAAAGTTCGAGAATTATGTTTCTCCTGAATCTTCCTACTACCTAACGTCACAGATAATTTTACATAAATTGTAAACGAAAGTTTCCATGTACCTAGAGGATTAGAGACGCACAAATACGCACCCTTTGTCTGCATAATGGAAATTTCTATTTCAGGGGATGAAATTAGGAATCCTTCGAAATTACGAGGATGGAAGTTGTTACTTTTAACCTTCCACCTGCTTCAAGGTTATGAATTATCTCGAAATAAGTTGGAAGATAAATTCCTTTGCACTCGAGAGGTGACCTTAAGTCACCATTTCATAAAATTTGGAAGATCGATATGTAACAGTATGCGAAATATCGAAGTCAAATAATTCTACAATTCTATTATTATACAATTCTTTATTTACTGCTCAAAAAAGTATCGTTAGTTCTTTAACCACTTGCGCTATAAAGACGTGCCACGCACGTCGAGATGCTTTTGTTCCAAAGCCGCCAGCGACGTGTATACCACGTCAATATAACGCATGTTATATTGTAGAGCGCGGCACGGCAACCGAAAGTTAAATCGTAGCGCAAGTGGTTAATAGAGAATCTTCGATTTTCTACTTTTCTCTAGCCAAAAAGTCGTCGAGTGCAAAGGGTTAAATTCCTTTTATCATCAGCCTACCTAACTTCTTCCGTTTCTTTGTATTCCAGGAACGAGCACGGACTTGATGCCCCAGCTGTTGGGAATGTTCGACGAGCTAGCTCGTCGAGGCAATGGCTACACCGATCACGTGGTTCTTCCGTCTTCCTGCAACATACCAGCGGTGCTGCAGAAGCGTCTGAGCCTGGTATCCCATCGAGGCTCCATATTCGGCCAGTTCCATCCCGAATTGAGCAAATCTCAGCCGGAGGACAACATGGCTGACCACTCAGCCCAGGAAAATACTGTGAACATAGTCGTAGCTGATGACATTACAGCTGAGAAGGAGAATGACACGTCGCAGACGCTGGAGAATAGCCAACAGGATGATAGAAACGAATGTACGATAGAGGAGAAGACTTACAGACGCGAAAGCAATGGCCTGACGCCGCTTAGGTACAATAGGCGATGCAGAAATGCTGGCAGACCGCTGTCTGGAAGCTCGGTCGCGTCCAGCACCTCCTCCAGCGGATGTAGCAACCAGGGGAACGTGTGCACCATCAATCCTTATTTGGCGTCAGTTGAGTCGCTGGCAGACACTTGCGCCAGCTCACAAGGTGAGGGTTCCTGGCGGTTTTGCGAAGCTGATGGAAGTAGGGGAACGTTTAGAGGAAATTGATGCCACTGGAAGTTTTGTTTGCAACGATTCTAGGGAGTTTCTTAGCGAGTTCTAGGGATTAGGTGAAATTGATTGAAGAAGGGCGATTTAACCCTTTGCACTCGAAAGGTGACCTTCAGTCACCATTTCATAATATTTGGAAAATCGATATTAATTAATGTATCAAATTTAATGTAATGTAATAGTGTGCGAGGTATCGAAATCAAATAATTCTACAATTCTTTATTTACTGCTCAAGAAAGTGTCGTCAGTATTTTAGTAGAGAATCTTTGAATTTCTACTCTTCTCTAGTCAAAAAGTCGTCGAGTGCAAAGGGTTAAAATTGGAGTTACAGTATGAAACTTGTTATTTTCGTGTAACTCAGCATTTCACATTCAGCTCCATGGTAGAATTGAAAGCTAAAAGATGGAAAGTTCTTTGTACTGTTAATTTTGTTGAGTCACTTTGGCTATTTAAATGAGCAGGTATTTAAAAGCGATCCTCGCCAATTAAAAACACTCTTATCTCCACTTATCACCTGTTCTGTCATAAAATAATCTGCAGTATAATCAAAAAGCAAATATATATTCTTAATCATCCTTTTACACTCCTCTCCCAAGAATGTACTTGTGTTTATCTGTCAAGAGCAACAACGGTATCTCTTCATCGAAAATGTACAAGGGAAACGGTATAATCGTTGAGCTATATCGATCAGCTTGCGCATCTAGATCATTCCGAATTTGCCTCAGGCACCTTTCTTCGTTGTTTGATTTGTTAGAGGAGAGCCGCATTGTAATGTTTTACAGCTGGCAACGGTAAATGAATGTAGTAGCAAGATCGAAAAATGTTAGATGATATTTTAGAAATCCGTTTCTAGAAGTATTGGTCGAAAGAGATTTCAAGGCCTCCGACTTTCTCCCCGGCTGTAACATAATCAACGGCAATGACAGTAATGATAGCGGCGGTGGCAATAAACTTCTCTCTCGGCAGGGAAACCGTTGCCACGGCCTGAATTGCGAGAAAACGCATGCATTTGGAGGATCAAACGATTATCTGATAGCACGTTACATGGAAAAAGATAATCTTTTCGCGTGGTTCTTTCACTTTCATGTTAATAGAAGAGTTTGGTACTGCGTAAAACCAGTTTGAAAAATAGATATTATGTCCGCAAACTTAGCTAGCATAAGCTCTTGTGTCAGATTTGATCAGATGGAGAATTTAATGAAAATAGATGAAGTAATTTGTTGATCGCATAAATTAAAATTAATCTTTAGACCGTTTAATAGAAACTGATTGAAATCGTTTTGGATAAGTGGAGGTAGTGTTTTCTAGTTCTTATGGGTTGCGTTTAGGGCATGTAAAATTGCGGGAATAACCGAGAAATTTATTGAAAACCGCAATACAGAAGGTTTGTTCACTAAAGGATGATATGATGGAAATAGGTTCTGGGGATAGTGGAGTAGTGACTGTGTTAGAGACCAACTATCGAATAGGAGACGATGGAAGTGACCGAAGAAGAAATAGTGCAGAGGAGGATGATCCATTGTCCCATAGGCCGCGTTATTGCGATCCGCATAGAAATCCTATGGAAAGGGTGCTTCTTGAAATAGTCGACACCGAAGCAATGTACGTGGAACATCTGCGACAAGTCATCCAGGTGAATATTTATTTTACTTTTTATAATCTATTAAGTCTTTGAAATTTAATTTCTTCGTTTTTCAGGGTTACCTTATATTTTGGAGAAACGATCCGGCATCGTTTGTGCATCAAATGCAGCTGAGTGACTTATTTAGTAATATTGAGGATATTTTTAAGTTCAATAGGTGAAGCAATTTTTATTTACGTGTTATAAAAAAATAGTGTTATCTAATAACGTTTCGTGTTATTTAGAATAACACTAAATTATGTATAATTTGTCTGCAGAGAGTTCCTGAAAGAAATAGAGAAATGTGGCCTGGATCCAGTCTGTGTGGCAAATACATTCATAAAGCACAACTCAGGATTTAAAGTATACACAGAGTACTGTACCAATTATCCAAGGTAATAATTAATGAAAACAAGGATATCTTAAATAAAATAAATATTACATAAAATTTCATGTATTCTTGTACCAATTGTATCTTGATATTAATACAGTCCATTTTAGGACAGTTTCCTGTCTAACTGACTTAATGAGTCAAGAAGAAACTGCTCATGCCTTCCGAGAAAGGCAAGTAGCCTTAGGTCACGCGTTACCTCTTGGATCCTTTCTTCTGAAACCAGTCCAGAGGATCCTCAAGTATCACTTACTTCTAGAGGTAAATTAGATCGTCAATCTTGTATCTAACCGTAACAAAAGAGACGCAGATGGAAGTTTTATGTTTCTTCATTTATAGAACTTGTCAAAAGAATATGCAGCGGACTGTGAAGTAAGAGAAAATAAGACTGAAGGGAGTGAGGCGATCGAAGCGGCGCTAGCCGCCATGACTGGAATTGCAAAGCACATAAACGCAATGAAACGAAGGCACGAGCACGCAGTGCGTGTTCAAGAGATCCAATCCCTTTTATACGGTTGGCCTGGTCCAGATTTAACCACCAGTGGCGAGCTGGTGGCAGAAGGAAGATTCAGAATGCGGGGTGCAAAAGCTCCTAGGCATGCTTTCTTATTCGACCGCATGCTTCTGCTCACTAAAAAGAAGGAGGATGGGCTTCTAGTCTATAAAGCTCACATCATGGTATGCCTTTTGATTTTCTTTTCCTTTTTTTATATATTTTACAAAAAAATATATTTATATTTCCAATATTTGTAGTGTTCGAATTTAATGCTCATTGAGAGCATACCAGGCGAACCATTTAGTTTCCATGTAATTCCATTCGACAATCGAAGATTACAGTATACTTTACAGGTAATATAATTATTTATACATTGACTATTATGTTTAATAAAATTACATATGTTTTACATGTTATATATTTATCAGGCACGAAATTTGGAACAAAAAAGAGAATGGACGTTGCAAATAAAGCGGGTAATGTTGGAGAACTGTAAGGCGGTTATACCTTCGCATGCAAGACAATTGGTTTTGCAACTTGGCCAAACACAACCAGAAGGTACATTCACACATTAAATTACAAAAACGTTTCCCGCAATAAATTTTGATAATATATTAATAATAAAACTATTGCAGATGACGCTTTGGCAGATAGAGGATCGATAAAAAAACAATACTCTGCACCCCCAGAATACTTAGACAAACGAAAACAGGAAAAGGAAAAACGAAGATCAGAAACAGGACTTAGGCAAAAATTTAAGAAAGGTGGCAGAAAGTCTGAGACTACAACTGAGGTACGAACAGTTCCAGAGATACTTCATACAAACTTCACTTTCTCAGTTACTTTTAATTTAATTTATATTCTAATAGGATTCTCCAGCATCGCCACGGAAAAATCAAAACGAGGATTCTAGCATCAACGATTCCAGGGAACAAGGGTTTAAAACTTCAGATGGTCGCGGGTCAAAAGTCAAAGTATTTAGAAACATAAATATCATACTTTCATGTGAAAATTATATTTAAAATTTTATTTTATTAAATGTAGGAATGATGGCTGACGTCATGTTACACGTAAGAAATACTTATTCTTCTTTTTAGGATCACTTTACCGGTTGGAGAAGGAAATCGGAGCCAGGTTTCCAGTCTTACGTGTGCCTTAACCAGTCTGACGAAGAGCAGAAAGAAGACACAGGTGATACTGGATCACCCACGGTTGAAACCGAATGCGCGATTATTGAGAATGATAAACACACAAACTCACCACCGCCTGAAACCAAAGAGAACAATGAACAACAAAGTCAAGCGCAAACAGTCGAGGAAATAGTTGGCCATATTCTTATGCAGAATCAAGAATTCCAAAAATTGCTTGAGAAACAACGAACAAACAGTATACTCAACGTTAGACAACAGCAACGTTTCAATAAGCATATTTCTGCTGATACATCTGATGATAGTGACTTAGAAAACACGAATTATATAGCAGACAACTCGGTCAATAATAGGATATCGCGGATTAGGACGGGACATCGAGAACGATTCGTTAAAACGAATAATACTTGGAACTCATTATCTTCTTCTCGCGACCATCAACCTACTCTTCAACTATTATACGATAATTTAAACAAAATTGAAAATAATAAATCAGTAGATAGTAATTCGAAAAATAAGGTTAACCTTGTACAGGAGAAAAAAGCGTTGTTCGAGGCATTTAAGAGACAGAGTATTGTGACGGAGAGTAAGGTTATTAAGACTGCACTTAGAATAAGGGAAAACTCAACGTCGAGAAACGAAGAAGCAACAACTCAACCACAAATTTCAACGGAAACCGAAGGTCAAATAGTAGAAAACGATAAAGGGACAACTCAGAATGGTGAATGTACAAATGTAGCTAAGCAGGGAATTACAGAACCTAATAAAGGTTTTGGAAATTATGACAATCTACAACACGTATGGGAAGGTCTACAAGAAGAAAAGGACTTAGATGGGAATGATAGTCCGACTCGCCCAGCAGTCTGGTTAACGAAACTGTGCGAAGGGTTACCAACGTCGCCACAAAAATGTGGTTCTCTCCCACGAAGCTTTCAAATCCATCCTAACTCGACTCAAAACGTTACAAAATCACGGTTTTTGCAGAGAGACGGCAAACCTATGAGCGAGAGACCATTTACAATAGCTTCGGACAAACCTGCAGAGATTAACTTAGAAGATATGGAGAGGTATGCTTCTACATGCCAACCGGAAGGAAGAATTGCCAAGTTCCCGACTTCCGTTTCAACTTCAACTTCAACGTCAACGTTCTTTTGTTCTTTGGACGACACATTAACAGATGACTATTCGGAAGTCCATATGTCGTCGACAAACACGAATATACATCCTGATCATAAAATCTACAGAGCAAACACTAGTGGAAGCACCTTATTTAAAAATGTTCTTTCCAAAGCTGGCAATCGTCTTCAGGGTTTAAGGAATACTATGAGCACGGAAACTTTAGAGTGTAGTGAAGAACTAGAGAGAACCAAGTATTTCCGTTCTTTAAGTACAGGTAAGTTAAAAAAGAAGAATAAAATGAAGCACTCAAGAGAATCCTCTTCAGATGTGGAAGAGCTTGTGGGATGCGCAGCAAGAGGTGGTTCAGATCTGAGGATCCCTTTATTGTATTATAAGCAGGGAAGCTCGAGTTTAGGTGCTCGAATCGCTCAGTCTGATTATGCAGACCCAACTGTATTATTCTTTGAAAGTAAACGACTTTGTCAGTTAGCGAACAATCAGTCACAGTCTAAGGAAGAAAAGAAGGAAGATGAGGAAAGCATTGAAAATCGGGAAAGTGAAACGGACAGTTTCTATGAAAAGTCGTTTGAAACGATTGAGAACTACGTGGACGCGGATGTTGATGACGCGTTCCGGGATAGTGCAATATTTAGCGATATTGATGAGGTCCTAGTAGCCAGGCCACTTTCGAGTCAGCCTTCTGAGGATTGTGCGCTATTTAAGAGCAAAGTGGCGCCACCAGTGCCAGCGAAGAAGAGAACAGAGTCAATCACGACAGTAAATCCCTCAGGATACAATATTATAACAACAAAATGCAAACCCAATGTGGCTCAAAAGCCTGACCATTTGAAGATTAAGTCAGTTTTCTTGAAAGGACAGCAGGAGTGTTCTAAGAATAGTTTGCAAAGCAATTACGTACGAAACAATAGCGAAGAAAAGGACGATGTGTCGGCAGGACAGAGTCAAGCTGGCTGGGTAAGGAAAATAGTGGGTCAGCTGCAGGGTCACATCGAAACGTAATTTATGCCAATGAAAGTGTACAAATCTCGTAACTGGAGCCTTGAACACAGGAATTTCACATTTGTCAATATACTTAATCCTTTTGAGATTAGAAAATATTTTAATTCAAGTATTAGTACATTTTTTTCTTTGTCATTTGATTAAAAAAAATATATATATATAATTATATAATTCGAAAAATAAATCTCGAAAGGATTAAGAAATTATTATTCACATCAGTAATACTCGTTCAAATAATTAAGAGTCACAAAGTTCATTTTCAAGTAATCTGTTAAGTACAATCTTTGAGATTATATTTTATTAGTACAATAGAAAAGAGAAAAAAAAATCGAGAATAAAATGAACGAAAGCAGAATATATAAAGAGTAACATTGATCTAGATGAAAGTCATATATTTCAATGCAAAACATAATATGTACATACAAATCTTCCTTTAACTTCATATTTGATAAAAACGTATGAATAAAGACTATATTAGTGTTATGTACACGTTACGTTTACCTTTATATTATTCGTTCCTTGTGTGAACTATTTCTTGCGCAAATATGAAGTTCTAGTGTTGAAGCACACGTTTATTGTACAACATTGAAACAAATACTGCCGAACAATTTGTCATATCATGTAAATTAGCCGTAAAAAGAACAAAACGTTATAAGTGATACTTTTAATTATTGTATGTCGCATTTAATCCGTGTCATATATAAATTTCATGTTAATAATACAGGGTAATTGGAAAAATTTATCTAAAACGTTTTTAGAAGGAAAAGATTTTAACTTTCGATAATTTAAATATTTAAATAAAATTTATTCTCTAATAAAATCATTTATAATATAAATAAATTATTACAATAAAGTGTTGATATTAAAAGTTATAGTCGCCCTGTATTGTTATGAATTTTTACGAAAAAAAATTTTATATTTTTAATGTCATTAGTCAGACTATTGTAAATCGATATACATATCGACTGAATATTTTAAGCATGATTGTACTTGCATTAACTCGTTAGGATTCAGATATCATTATTTTATTTTTCAACAATAAACGGACTCGTTTAAATAAAGAAAAAAGTTGCTCCTTATTTTTTATTTATTCTTAGAACCTAACGGGTTAAGTATTGTTTGGTTACATTTAAAAAGGTTAACAAATCCATGGTGTATTTAACTTTAGACAATAATGAACTTATGATCAAATGAGTTTATGATTTATTTGCAATTACACTATGCAAAGAATTTAGTATTTTTGCAATAAATCAGTTTAATTATTGTCACTTTTTGTTTTCATTATTTTCCGATGAGAGTAACAGAAATAAATTTTCATTTATACATTTATGTTATAAGAAGGATCCAAAGGTAGAGTTGAAGATTTAAATCATAAAATTAGATCCAAATATTACTTCAGGTAGGTTTTATTACGAGAAATGTCTATTTACAAGAGGATTCGGCTAGTCGTGTTTACAGATACAAGAGTAAATAATACATAATGTTCATAAATTAGCTTCGCAATACTGTATGTATATTTAAAAGAAAAGGAAAAGAAAAAGAAAAATAATGACTACTAGGTGAGATGCTCAATGAACTGAAAAAAACGATCATTCATTATACACATTATATACAACTGTAATAACTATATAATACATTTAACCGTTTAGTATTATCTTGAATTAGAGTTCTCTCTATTCAAAAGAATCTTTCTCTTTCAAATCTCCGTTAGTTTCGGTTACGAATATAAATATAAAGAATAAATTAAGATTCATTTCGTTTATAGAGTTTCTGCGATCGATGTTGTACACAGAAATAATCTTTGTGTTTGGCTAACAAAAAAACATCTTGTATAGCAATACAAGATAAGAAAAGTAATGCTTCAATATAACCCTTTCGTTCTGAAATCATTTTAAGTCGTTAAAATTCTTATGTTTTTAGTTACAAGATTATCGTATGCTAATTACTAAAATCAATGTTGTCCAAGTTAAAGCTCTATAACCAAACAGACTTCACTATTTTGTCTTTATTATCTATAGTAGCGCCACCTACTAACACTCTCTCTGTACAAAACAGAAACATTAGAAAATCAATAATTGTTTCCCGCCCAAATGTATCAATTTCTTTTACTAACCATGTGATGAAGCAAAAAGAGGACAAAACAGTGCAAGAAATTTTGTTCAAGAACAACATTGACTTGGATAATAAAAATTGTGCAATAGATCGCTGTACCGAAAGGGTAAGACATCAGTGTTTTCCAATTAAAAATTTTTTTTTTGAACTCCTGACATGACTTAATTACTTAGTTACTTACATTATAAAAAAATTGAAACACCAATACCAATCATGAGTCTTCTATAACTTTCTTAAGAAGTTCTTTAAAACATCGAGAAAAAATCTATAACGAAAGTATTCTTTGTAAAGAGTATTGGAAAACACTGTTGCAAACGAACTAAAGAAATTTAACGACATCGTTATCTCGTTTTTTCTATACAGCATCTCATCGAGAAGCTCCTTAAACCTAGAATTCATTTATGCGACAACGACACGGTCCTTCTATAATTTCGTTTGCAAGAATATTCTCGTTAAATTGTCACTTCTATTCGCAGCTAAAGCTTTGGTTAATAACGCGCTATTGACAGTATTGACAATTCTTATAGTTTTCCATCCTTTTCTCCTTCGAAAGAGCATGAACTAACGAAATTTCAACTTCGTTATTTACGCTAATCCTTATACTTCTTTGAACTTACATTTCTTCTTAGAAGAACATGCCTCTTAAAATATTCCGTTTTGTTTACACACTTACATTTTTAATATAAAACATAATACATAGCTGAACAAAAAATCAAATTGACTCTAAGAATGTAACTTAATAATATTGAAACAGCACCTGTGAGAATCCATGATCTATGAATCCTGAGAGTAATTCATTATGAATAACAAATATGAATCTTGTGTATTTTAATTAATTCGGTATTATTTACTAAAGAGAATAAAGCAAAAAACAATGAAGATGGTAATAAAAAAGATTATTAAATTAAAAAAATTTCTTTTTCCTTTGTAGTGTTAAGGAAACAATATGTGAATAAACAGTACTGTAATTTCATTCCTATCACTCTCAGGATTAATTAGAATCGAATATAACATTATTATTGCAGAAAAAATAACAGAATTGAAATTATGTAGAATATAAGATCTGAAAGTATCACAAGATATATAACAAATGTTTTCTTTCTATAACTTTGTAAATATAATCCTGTAATTCTTTCAGATAATTTTATATTCTCTATTGATAAGTAGAGGCAAAGCCATTGATCTGGTCAATATGGACAGGTACATGTTATCGCTGTACTATTTGTCCTACTGCTATAGAAATCTACATTGTGTATGAATTGAAAAAGAATATTAGTGATTTCATAAAAAATATTTATATAGAAAATATGAATTTTTTTTATGAAATCAACAGTTTTAATTTCATATATCAATATTCAATTCACACACAGCATACATATACATGAAGATTCAATAGAAATTAAATATCTTCAGCTATGCACTACATTCAACAAAACAGTTCTGAAGAATCTATTTAAAATTTCGTGGTCATAAGTAGAATGTGGATATGTAAAATCTGCATGTAACATGTTTCTGAGTTTTTTTGTTTTTCTTTTTCTAAATTTTTGTTTTCTAATAGTTGGTCTGGCATGGAGTATTTATAATTATTTTTTTCTTTTTATTTTCTAATACTCTTTTCCATTGTTTAGTTATTAGTATAAATGTTTTTGCATTTTGCCAGTGTACTTGTGTGTATCTCACACTGCATATTTGATGCCATGAATAAAATTATTGTCTTTAGAATAATACAAAAATTTGCCAGGTAACATTGCAGTGTCATTATTTTTGATGAAATGAAAATAATGTACGTGTATAAAAAATTATAAATGTATCTTTATACATGTACATACATTCGTCCTGAATGTCTACAAAGAATATAGAATATAGAATTTTCCTTTCATTGATTCTAGTAATCTGTGTCACACCATTATACATTTGCCCAAAAATTATCTTTAACATTTAATAATATATTGATTATATGAACACAAAGAACAAAATGTACTGTACAATTCAAAAAATGTGCTGCAACGATTTTATAACAAAGCAAAGCTTTCTTTAAAAAGCATTGATTTTACAAATGCTTAAAAGTGTATGTAAAGAATTTCTGTTATAAACATTTATATACTGAATAAGCAATAGCTTGAATTAACAACAAGCAAGATTCAAATAGTAGATAATATAAAATAATTTCTTTTAACTGCCGACATTGTAAGCACTTAATATCTCCTAATGGTATATGCTTAATAGCAAATACAAGGAAGACATTTCTTTATATACCTTTTTTTTACGAGACCTACCAATTTATATGAATAACACCTTACTAATCTTCTCCATTGTGTTGTACAATTTGATTAAACATTTCACATTTGATTGCTCAAGCACTGATTGTAATTGCATACTAAATTGCTGACACAAATGTGTAAATATACTGACACATGGACTTGCTTAATCTTATTCCCTGAAGAAACATCTCTCTTGTCTTTAAAACTACATCTGTATATATTCTCTTAAAAAACTTATTAATATTGTGAATACTTTAAGAATCATCGTCAATTTAGCATTGAAATGTGTTACTACATTTAATAATAGGACTTAAAGTAATTATCACTTTGTGTACCATGTGCGTACATGCAAGCTTCACGATGAACGAATAAATTCTATTTTATAGAGTTTATTATATTTGGAATGGAACATTTGAACAAATGTTAGGAATTGATATCTAAAGGTAATGCACAAGACAAGAGTGATATTTAAAATGGTAAAGTGAACTATTTTGGACATACTTTGAACACATGATCATTTCAATTTTTTCATTTAACAGACTGTCGGCATAAAATATTCTGTTGTTAAATACAATTTTGCTATATTTTCTCATAATAAATCAGTGGTTAGTGTTAAATTTTGCCTTAACATAAGAGGTACAGATATTAATATTTTGCAGCCATATAATCTATATATTTTGTCCATTTCATGAATTGAAATAATACTTCGTAATACAACAAATTCAGTATGTATTGAAAAAAATTTCCAAATAAGAAAATTACATTTCATTATTAAACTTCAATTGCACCACTTATGCTACTGGCAACAGATATAACATTTATGTAACATAATTATTAACCACAAACAATAAGCAGTAAGATGTTTACTATAATGACACTATTATAGTAAATTTTTCATAGCATAATACTTTCTTTAGTAATCCTACATTCTATTTACACAGCAAATCTTCATATAAAATACCAAAATATTTCAACATTTCCAAAGTAATTTTACTCTGTCAATCCTTTCTAGCTCAACTTACATTTCATTCTTGTCACTGCAAATCAATTACTTTGGTTTGCAAACTATCGATATATCGACAATGGATGGAAAAGTGCCAGATATTCACAAAATCTACTAAATGGCATCTAAAGGACACTGTCGAATTTAAATATTTTTAACATATTTAATTTTAGCTAATAATCAATGCTAAATGGCCTCAAATTACATTTCATTAGCATACCTGGCCAAATTATATTAAATTTAAATGGTATTACTATGTGATAATAATACTAAAATATAAATCTCTATACTAACAAAATTTAAACTATGGAAAAAGTATTTTTAACTTTTTTTTATATTTTAATTTCATTAGCTACTTAAATTTTCGATAATAAGTAATTGCTAAAATATTTATTATGAAATATTATTCAATGTTTCTATTAATTCTTTATAAATTTAATTCATTTAAAAATTGCTAATAACTGACCATTTTTTTTATATGTATTTTTCATTATCATTATATTTTTCAATAATAATGAAATGAGATCTATAATTGTTTGCAACATGCAAATAGTAATGTATATATTAATTCTTTTTTATTGAAACTTAAATTTTGAAAAATATGTTTAAATATAATATAACCATCTAAACTAAAATAAACGTTTAAATTCTAATATGTCTTTTATTTTATTTATCGCGTGCAAAGATGCAAATTTTTTTGCTCGTAAAAAGATGCATTTAAATTGGTCGTTTTAAAATTTCTTTCACGCTACGATATTTTGAAAAAGGTCGAAATGAGTATTAATAGCATAATCTTTAATGTACATAAAAAAATCTACTATTCTAGAAATAAATAATAATAATAATGATATTGTTCTGAAGTTTTTATGCAATTATTAATTAAAGATATAACTTACGTTATTCATCTTTGTATCGATTGTACAAAGAAACCATAAAAATATCACATAGTATCAATTGATACTAACATTAATTAAATCACTGATGTAGCTCAAATTTTACGTAATCATAAAGTACTATTTCAGATAAAATAAAAAATCTCAGATGCAAAAGAAAGATTAATTTAAAAAGCAAAACTAGATACTTAGCGTAACTTTCGCGTTAATCCTTAAGCTCTATTCTGTCCAGCACTCTTCCTCCTGAATACACAATTCACGTGTTAAGAAAGTCTTTCGCAAATGAGAAATGATATTCTCCCAGTCTTGATACCCATCACACAAAATGCACTTAATGTCATTATCTTGAAGAAGTAAGATGTTAATTTCATTGGAATTCAAATATATATATATACATATATATTTGAAATATATATAGACACATCATGCTCCTAAACTTTGAATTCATGTACAATATGAAGAAACTGTTTTGGATATTTATAATATATATCCACCAAAGCCATATATTTTTCAAAGAAAATGATGAAAGTAAATTTCAATTCTAATTTTTCTCTTTAAAATTTCAATTATCAATATTAGGCTTGATAGTTATAAACAAAAAATATTCCATGGTGCATACAATTAAAATGGTCTACAATATCTATTAAAAATGATTGTTTTGGATGAATTAATCTTTAAGACTCTATTATACATATTTCTTAAAATAAATAATTTATGATTGCCATCATAAACTACTTTGCAATTTATACTGTATATTTATAGTACAATCATCCAAAATTAGAGACACTGATGAACGCAATGTCTTATTAAAATAACTTTGATGCAAAGGCCCAATGCCTATCAAAGTAAAACTTATACAAAAGAACATGATATATATTGCATTGAATACACGTGTTTCAATTTCACACTTCTTCTTTTTATGCAAGAAAAATATATTTGGAACTGCCATTTGATAAATATTATACTTTTATACACATGATAATTAATTTGTATTTTAATCGTTGTCTTTGTTGCTTTCTGTTTTATTTTCGAATATATTAATCTACTTAAACTACTTTTGGCCAACATTTTCTATGACTCATACAAAGTTTAGATGAGAAGCTTATGATGATACAATTAATTTATCTCAAAGATTGTGGATGTTTTACATTATCTAAAAATTATTCTAAAAATATAAATATCCGTGTATCTACAAGTAATTATAGTTATATATGCATGGTTCTCATTGTGTAAGACCCGTGAATGTAAAAGAATGAATCAGAAATGGAAAAAATTATTAAAATCAAATTTAGTGTTCATCATTGGCTAAATCTTTACTATAATAATGAATGCCAATTTGAACAGTATAAGTTTTATTTTGCCAGGCATAAGGCCGAATTTACATATTATTTTAAATATATCGTGTTTCTTCTTAATAATCTGTTCACTGTGATCTCCATTCAAATTTTGAAGATCACTAATTCTAAATCTGTCTTCATTAAAAAGTTTTTTCTCGGCAAATAACCAGTCTATGCAGCAATGACTATATGGAGAACAGTGACGAATGACGTGTGTATGTGTGTACGTTGATTTCATTCATATGCACTTTAAAACAGGATAATTAACAATTCTCTTACCAACATCGAGCACTGCCTCTCAGAACAGTCACGTTTTACTTTACACGCAGTCAATAAGAATCACAAGTCACTTGTGATACTTTATATCTGCACATTTAGTTGGAAGATAAGAACTTAGTAACTGGCTTCGTGCCCAGCTAGTATATACAAATCTGCGCCCTCAGATTCAGTCAAAGTACCTGATTGAACCAGGTGGCTTTCCAACATCACAACTCTGTCAAATGAAAAGCAAGAAATTTTTTATTTTTTAAATGTTAAAATATTCAAATTTAAAATATTTAGAAAATGTTTCATACACGATAGATACATACTTATCTGATCCAAGTAATCTGTACATCCTACTCGGATCACTGATTTCTTGTGTAATTTCGCCATTTTTGAAACTTCTACCTTGCATGCCATACTTGTGGAATGCTAATACACTATCTGGTAAACAAACTAAAACAAAAAAATAGTTATAAAATCTATTTTAAACTATAACAAAATAAAAACAATTATTTGTTTTAAATAAGCTTACTAATGGATTCAATTTGAAAGTTAAAATGTAACTCCGACATGTGCTTTCTGCTCGATCTAGGCTTTCCTTGTAGCGTTACCACCTTTACCACATCTATAAAAGAAAGGTACATATGTGTTATTAGTCTTCAAAGAATATTATAAATCAATTTTTTGTTATGCTTACTATCGTAACAGACTAAAATCGCATTTTTTTCTAGTTGAGTAACATTGATAACATGAAGGTTTTCTCTTCTCAGTATCACAGTGGCTGTAAAGAAATCATTTTTAAATTAGAAAGAGGATAAAACAATATTTTTTTAACTTATTTAATATATGAACACAAAAAGACGAACCAGAACCATCCATATCTTCCAATTCATCACTGTGAAACCAACTTGCTCCCGAATTCATATTAATTAAATCCAATTTTAATCTGTTTTGTTGATATGGTTGTTTTACAGATACGCATACCATCGGATACTCCATTTCGGGTGTGATAATAATTTCGAACACGTTTAACGGTGACGGCAGTGTACAATCGAAATGTTTTAACAACATAAACTTATTAAGAGGATCGTACCATTGCATTAAAAATATTCCAGTTGGCATTGCACCACACAAATATTTATACCTACATTAAATATATTATTATTTCATATATATATCAATTAAAGTAAAGTAAATATTTATCAATTTACCCGTTATATGGATTTCTTCCAACACAACATTTAGTACAACCTTTTGTATCTGGTACTTTAGTAGTTAAAGCAAATTTTCTAGGTACCAATCTCTCAGGTATTTTATTCATATGCAATGAAAACCTATGGGTTTGTTTGCTTTGCATTGCTAATAAATCGTGTCTATACAATTGAGGAGTTTTTCCTAAAATTTAAAAGTACTGTATATGTGATAATTAAAGTACCATATTTATATCAATAATTAATAACTTACCAGATAAAGACATGAGGACATCTTTAATAACATACATCCAAATCGTACGTCTCGGATATAATTGATCTATCGCAGTTTCGTGAAGTTCGTTCAGGTTTAAATTATAAATCCCCTCTTCTGCCGCAATTAATAGATGCTGATCTCTTGTATCTGGATGAATCCAACTCGCAGTACAATGTATTCTTAACGGACAACCATTAAAAACCTAAATAAAAATTGTTATTTATTTCAGTCACAAAATTATCAAGTTTTAAAATTCACTAAATAAAGTAAATAAAATTAATGGCAAGAATATGTCAAACTAACTTTTGAAAAACATGCACCCATATGAACCTTGGGTGTAGGTGGTAAACCATTACTGATGGGCCTAGGAGGTGTATGGCGTTTCCTGTCCCTTCTCCTTGGAGGAACAGGAGGAGTATCAGATAATAAATCTGGACTCATACTTTCTCTATCTCCATCATTCGGCATCTCACTTTGACCTAGGTAAAATTCTTCTACTCATTAGATTAACTATTTTTAATTGAGTAGAATCGATGGAACAATTATTTTCGAAAATAATAAAATATTATAAGCAAGTCTTAAAGTAATACTACATAATTTAGCAGTGTTAGTATAAACTTATGAAAATTGAAAATGAAGAGTGAATACTATTTCGTTTAATGTATTTTAATTTAAATAATTTTAACTTAAAAGTTAATTCCTACCATTTGATTGAGGGGATTCATCTCTAGGACCACTGTCCGAGAGAGATCGTTGACGTTGCCCATTGACAGCGGCTAAAGATTGAGTACTGCTCACCAGACCATACAACTCGTCCACAGAGCTGTGTCGTCTGGGACTTGCTTGTGATCCTAAGCACCGAATCTACATTTTATACTACTACCACGTCACCTCCGAAAATCTCACAATTTCCAAATTAGTTATATACATTATCAAACTACTGTGAGACTAATACTGAGCTTGAAACTAATAGGCTAATTAGTCATTTTAATCAGATTGAGATTTAGATATTTATAGGAAATAATTAGCTAAAATTAATATCAGTTAATACAAGATCTTGTGCAGTATTACATTTTGATAAAATTACAAATAATAAATTATTACTACAAAAAATATGTGCTTACCTGCCATATTATAATATGGACAATGTACTTCGCAATCATTTGATGATTCCCCAAGAGGAAGAGTAGCTCTGCAAAAGAACAAATAGACCAACAAATGTTAAAAAATATTACATATCAAGAAAAATAAATATTAGAATCTTTTTTAAACAAGTGCTACTAATGTTAGTAAATTATAAATAATTTTTAAATAATAATCGGGAAATATATATTATTATCGATAACAATAATAACAACAACAATAGTAATAATAATACCAATAATAATAACAATAATAATAATAATAATCATAATTGGTTAAAAATTAAAAAAAGGAGCATGATTTATGAAATTGAAAAAATGCATTGGAAAAATATGTTAGAGGGCAAAAGAATTACAGTGGATGAAACCAACATGTATGAGATCATGTAATTTTAAAGCATTTGTTACTACACTATTTAGTAAGCACTTAAAAGTGTTTCTTTCTTTCTTCTTTTTTTTCCTTTTTTTTTTTTTTTTTTTTTTTTTTTTTTTTGGGGGTTTTTTAAAAGAAAGAGGTGGTGCTCAGGAAATATGAAATGTTTAAGCAAAGAGTGATCACAATTGAATATATTGATACAATATTTACCAATAAACTTCAGGGAAAATACAACTACTGTAACTATATGAGTTTTCTTCAGAACATTTGATTTTTTATATACTTTATGTACATTTAATTTTATAGCATAGATAAAATACTTTATCATCCTATATAATTGTTAATAAAAAAATATACCAATTATTTTGAAGTTATATTTAAACATTTATAAAAACAATTTGTTCTGAGTAAAAGGCAAGTGTTACTCTCAGCCAAAGTAACAAAATCAACTGAACTGTGTCTACAACCAAAAGATGAAACAGCTTACTATTACATTTTATCATTTACTTACTGCAGGGAATATAGCTGGTCGCAATGCCCACCAACCATCGACATTGCATTCCCCCTGCACATATGAAACTATAATCATATACTATAAAACAATTACATATTTTTTTGTTATTAATCCTGTGGAATTTTTCATCAATATTTTTATAATTAAATTTTTTATATACAAAATAATTCTTTTATCTTATGAGGGATACAAGGGCAATTTTTCAGCCAAAATGATACATAGCTACTTCAAACATCAATGAGGGATATAATGTAGTAACACTTATTACCATAACTAATTAATTGGGTACCTCTTCATTTGCTTTTATCATAGTTGATCTCTTGTTATCACAAAATTACAAAACATAGTTTAAACATATATTCAAAATTGTAATATCTGTAACAGATATATAAACTTCCACCACCAATATGGTTAACAGTTTAAAACTTATTCTACAAAAAGAAATTACATGCAATAATCAACTTTAAAAATATCTACCACAAAAGAGCTATATTTCAAAAGTATGAGCTCTGAAATTACACTATTTACACGCATATTTTAAATATTAATAGTTAGCATTATAGGGTATATAAATAAAAATTGACTAATAAAAAGAATCAAAGAAATGCATAATGCAAAGAAGCTTTAATTAATTTAAATGCTTCACATAAGATGCAAAAGAAGGGGTGTTAAAAAAGTTAGAATGTAGATTAATAAATTAGTACGAAGCTGCGGTAAAAACAAAATAGTTTTAATGCGAGGCAATAGGAAGTATATGTGCAAGGTGCAAGGTGCAAGGGAAAAGGGTTACCTGCCAATACCTTAGCAACAACTCCTCATCAATGTACTGCAATAGACTCCTGTTGGGAGAAATTATTAAAATTACAAACTGATCAGAGAAATTAAAGCTATGAGAATTAAAATGAGTTATGAAATTCAGATAAGGATTAGACGTAATATAAGGATAAAGTAATAACTATTTTAAGCTATTATTCTAATTGAAGATTACGATTTAATAATTACCATTAGATTATTTTTATCCGATAAATAAAATGTATATTGTAAAAATTTGCCATATCTGGTACAAATTTTATTGTTTTATTAAATCGTATTATTTTATAAATTATTAATTGATTACCGAATGCATAAAGATACCAATGAAAGATATATACAAAACATTACGATCGTAAATAATACTTCAGATAAAAATATGGAAATAAATTTAACAAGACAAAAAGATCTTTATGTAAAAATAAAATACGAGTGTAACGATAATACTTACGCAATGGGACTAGTGAATACATCAAGACCTTTTTGAACTTTCGCTTTAATCATGCAGTACTTAAACTAATCGATATTGATCATCATGCACATTTTGTGATATGTATTATTTTAAAAAATTAAACATTTGTAGAATATAAGTAACTAACATAAAAAGATTAATCATTTGTGTATTATAATACCTATAAAAAATAATCAAATATAAAGAAAAGATCTATAAACACTAATTTCATGCTTTAAATTTTTAGTGTAAATTTTTAACGTTCTATGTCAATAATTAAAATAGCATGCATATCTATTAAAAAAAAAAAAAAAGGAAAAAAACGAAATACATTTCTTTTGATATTAAATCAAATACATCATTACATCTTATTTGTAGCTTCATTAATATATTTATTCAGATGATATTAATTTTCCAGGTCACAATCCAAAATTTTATAATATCTTCACACCAACTACCTGTATTTTATTACCTTAAACTCATATGAAATATCTCTGTGCCTGTTTTGCTTCGACGCGACTCTCTACTATCTGTTGTAACGTTAGCGCCAACAGTACTGATACAAAAATAAACTATATCATGTCTAGGAAAGCTATAGAATGATATAAAAATCATTATGTAAGGCAACCAGAATTTCGTAAATCTTTTTATTAATTTTTTAAATGGCGCAAAGAATATAAATTATGCAAAAAATTTAATTGCTATATATTTTTTTTAAGAAGTTTTAATATTTTTCGAAAATAGATCGAATTGTTAGATCTTTAGAAGCATTAAATTTGCATATTTACTTTTTGCTCTTTTCTATTAATAATTGATGCACAGTATGCAAAGCAGAAGCAGACGTGCCATATGCAATTTGACATTTGTTAGACCAAAATTGCTGTTTTGCTTTACATAGTTCTGAACTGTATAATAAGATAAAAATTTGTATAAAATCTTACAAATAGTAATTATTAATTACTATGCTGTTTAGAAGATGGCTCAGAACAAAACAGCAATTACCATATTAGTGGAAGGATCTTCAGCATCCCCTCCCTGATTTTATCAAAATGATATATCAACTTACATAGTCAAATACATTTATTTAAAATATACTTACTTTTCCTGTACATCCTCAAACGCTGTCCCAATGCCGCAATCTGGGTGAACATCACAGTTATGAACAGCCTAAATAATTAAATATAAAAATATTATTTTAAATAATATATTTAAAAATATAAAAACTTTTTTTATAAAACGTGAATTACCTTGACATTATTCATAATGTCCATAATATTCCATGATGGAGTAGCATCCACTGGTGGAGAAATTGCGTCTCTTTGTAGTGTTCCATCAATATTAATTTGGTCTGTAACATACATGTAATTTATACTTATACAAGAAATAATATTTGAGTATTGCTTTTTACCATCACTGTCTAATTGTGGTATAGGACTTTTTGGTCTAGGTCTAGCAGTGTGACGTGATGCTATCCTTTGTGGAACATTAGGTACAGCTCCATCTTCATCTGCTTCTAAATCAGTGAACATATGACTAGGATTCGATACTTTTTGTAATAATTCTAGAGCTAAACTTTTACTCATTTCTCCTTGAAAAAATGCATGCTGAAATAAAATTTTGTATTAAGAATAAAATATTTCATTGTCAATTTATTTCGATCTATTACAGTATACATTATGTGCATTAAAAAGAGAAAATAACCTGCAATAACTTTTCGGCGGTCGGTCGTTTTTTAGGATTTTTAGTTAAAGCAACTTTTACGAAATTATGAAATGTTGGACTCCACATGTCACGATGTTTTAACGTTGGTGGTTTAAAACCAGATTTAGACATAAGAAAAAGTGCTCTCATTGGATGTAGATCAAACATTGGTGGTTGCAATTCAGCTAACTCTATAGCGGTAATTCCACATGCCCAAATATCACAAAGTTGATTATAACCACCTTTCCTTTCTACAGCTGCAACCTGTAAGCTCTTAAATGTAGACCTTTAAAAAGTTTATAAAAATATTCAAAAGAATTAAAATACCTCAGGTGCCATCCAATAGGGAGTACCGATAAAACTTTTCCTTTTATTAATAGTTGCAGTAATCTGGGCTGATACTCCAAAATCAGCTAATTTGACATCACCACTTTCAGTCAGTAATATATTGGCACCTTTAATATCACGATGCATTTTACCCATGCTGTGCAAATAAGCCAATCCCAAAAGAGTTTCTCGGCACATATATGCTATTTGTATTTCTGATAATGGTCCAGTTACTATAGTAGCATTAAAATATTTATTGTATTATGATATATATTTTAATACTACAATATATATTTAATGTGATTCTATCGCAAATATTTTTTTTGTATGTTAATTAAATGATTTTAAGTATTACAAAAGAATACCAATAAAGAACCTACTGTGATATATATCTTGTAGGGAACCACCACCACAATATTCCATACAAATCCATAATTTATCCCTTCTTAAGTAACTTCCATAATAGGCAATAATATTAGGATGTCTACAATCTTTCATCATTAAAATTTCTTGTTGAATTATTGCAAAATCATCCCCTAAAACATTTAAATAATATAGACATTATGTAAATGTTTAACCATGCTGTATGATCTTGTAATATTTGTTAAAGAGAATATTTATTAAATTATATATCAAACTTGATATTTCAATAATATAATAAAGTTTGAATGATAGTAAATCAAAGGAACATCATATTAAAATGCATTTTATTAATATACATATGTAAAACAAGTAACCATAAACAAATTAACAAATACAATTTATTTATTAATGAAAAGAAAATACTGATTTATGAGTGTTTTGTGTATTATTATCAAACATAAATAAACAAGCTTGTAAGCTTTTTTAAAATATATTCTTACTGAAAAATTATAAATACAAAGAGGAATGACGAAAAAACGGTGCAAGATGTATACAATCATTGTTTGTCTAATTGTAACTTGGTTGCAAAAAGCAGTGTGAGAAGCAGTCTGAAATCCAGCTTAATCAGCTTTTTTAAATCATTCAAAGTAGATCTAGAATGCAAGTTGTCACTTGAAACGACGCTAATTCTGTAAAATCTTTAGTGAATAAAAACTTGAAAGGTTTGCAAAAACAGGCCGATAAACTAGGGAAACATACCTGGTTCCAACTTGATAACCTTAATTGCGGCGAGGTCATTCATGGAAAGTCTTTTTGCCTATTGAACAAATTGTATAACGCATAAATACAACGAGTTCTATCGTAAATAAAAAGACTCCATGAACGGACAAACCTTATAAACATCTCCGTACGTTCCGCTGCCTATCCTCTGAATGAGCTCGTACTCATCCTGTGGATTTCTTCGGCTTATGTCACTGGATAACGCGTTAGCGTTCAAAGCCATTCTAAAACACAGATTCCTGTCGGTTTACCAGCTAACAAGCGTAATTAATATCTACAAAAGAAGATTAACGTTAAAGTGTAAAAACACATTTGTTCGTTAGAATGTCACTTTCGTCGAAACGTCGCCATTGTTCACAACAGCTCTGAGGTTAGTCACGACTAGGTAAGCGGTTCTTGCGATACATCGATTAGTCGATCTTGCATCTCGTAATGAACACACCAAAAGTTGTATTTTTTTATTTATAGTTTTTATTTTTTTTCTTTCTTAAATATTTGTTATATTCAGTTTTGACAGTTTCCAAAAATTTTACAAACCAACAGTTGAAACTTAAAAATTTGTGTGAAAGTATATTAATATACCACAAATATATTTATATTTTTCCATATAAAAAACAATTGTTCAAAAACTAAATGAATATTTTATATTTAATAAAGATAAAAATTGTAACAATCTTTAAGCCGTACAAGATTTCAAAGATACTGAATAATTTGGTATTAGTGAAAGCGATAAAGTTGATAGTACAATATTATGAACATACGTCAGAGATAAATGTTACCTTAAATAGATAACCTGCATTTTTTAGGCATGCGTAAAGATAACATAGTACATAAATGAACATGATAAAGGTAAAATTTAATTATATTTTTTATAATATGAGTAGTTTAATTTTGATCTACTTTGTACTGATAAATAACACTGTTCAACACGAATCTTAATCTATACTATTTATTAGGTAACTTTTGTAGAATTCAATTTTTTAAAAAATACACCTGTAATCGAAATTGCTCTATCATTTTCAGTTTTCGAAAATTGTGAGTTTCTCTAAACCACACGACTATTGATTAAAGTGAAGTTTTACATAAAAAGTAAAAACGTTAGGAGGTTCATTATTGCCTTAATGTGGGTAATAATTATTTATCATCGAAGTTTAAGAATAAATCTCCGAATGTACTTTCCATGTATGTCCTTGCAATTTACAAAAAATTCGTTATTTAACACAAATTTGCTGCATAGTAGCGTCTTGTTAACAAATAAATTTTAACCGAACTATAAGATGACTACTTCATTTCAGCCCAAAATCATGGAAATTCATATTATAGAAGTACGAATGTAGTTGAAGTTTATAAAACATATATAAATTACCAAATTTATCATTAATAATAAATTAAAATTGTGAATAACAAATTTCTTAAAGCAAACATATATTTAATAGAAATGCATCACGCAAATATATATTCTAAAAGCATAAATAAAATTTATATATTTTTATATTTATTGTTAGTAACAAATTAATAATGTTACTAACAAATTGTTCAAGACGAAAATTTATAACAAAAGTGAAAAAATTAATAAACTTGTGACTATTACATGAATTTATAACTTACTCGTGTTAAAATGTACCAACAATTTGCAAAAAGTTTAAAAATTATTACACCGATTGTTAATAACAAATTAATATTATTATTAAAAAATCGTTTGCAACGTAAATTTTTCATAACAGTAAAAAAATGACTAAATTATAGGCTATTAGAGCGGGAAAATAATAATTAATGGAATTAGCGTAATTAGAATATTTTCAATTAGGGTGGGGGTGCTCGGCCGATCGAAGGCTATATAAAGGGCGACGTGACGCAGCAAAATTCATTTGTCAGTTCGACTTCGGAAGTGTAACATCTAATTTTTCCTTGTGCGCGAGGGGTGGGGGTCCGAAGTAAGGTTGGGGATGGCTACCCCACCCTCACCGCACCTCATTAAACAATTTACTAATTATTTTCTTTTTTGTTTCCAGATATTAATTTTTTTTCTTTCAGGTTTTAATTATTTTCTCTTGTTTTAGAATTTAATTATTTCTTTTTCTTTCAGATGTTATTTTTTCGTTCCTATTTATTTTTATTTGAGAATTCGAATATTTCGTATAATATTCGAATGTCTCATCGTTAGGTTGTTTGTGTTTCATCGTTGGGTTGTTCATGTCTCATCGTTGCATTGTCAATAACTTTTATATTTCAGGTCTAATTTATTTTCTTTCAGGTTTTAATTATACTTCTCTTTCCGCAATTTATTTTTTCGTTTCTATTCATCTTCATTCGGACATTCGAATATTTCGCATAATATTCGAATATTTCGTCGTTGGTTTGTTCATATTTCATAGTCGGTTTGTTTCTCTTTCATAGGTGGGTTGTTCCTTCCACTTGGTTAATCTTCATGGTTTCTATTCATTCGTTTCCTTTCTTCCTACTAATCCATTTCTTTTCAGGTTTATATTAACAATAATATATTCTGTTTTAGCTTTTAGGTTTCTCAAGATTCTCAAGTTTCCTCAACATTTCATTTGCGACGCCTCAATGGATGACGCGGGATGCATGTGTTTAGACCTAAATAGTTATAAGCAGTTATAAGATAGATGCCTAGGATAAGTTTCATGTGCGTGCTCTCTGTATAAAGGTACGCTACCTAACTTGGAGCGAAATATATCAAATCTCTATCCTCTATCCTCCTCGTTTACCAAATAGAACATAATTGTTATCGCGATAATCGCGATCGTTCTTAAGTACCGACTAGCCTGCGCGACGTACTCCCATGTACTTGATAACTTCATGTTTTGTAAGTCATCCAAACGATTCGTTCCGACACTCACCCTCGCCACTGCCACCCTTGTCACGCATCGGTTCTAGGGTGGTCGGCGGGCTGGCACTCATCTGGGACAATTCGAGGGTCTGTCGGCCCTAGTCGTCTTGGGCACCAGCGCGTGCACGACCGGGGTATGGGCCCTGTAGCCGTGACATTGCACATGGGCCTGCGGTCAGACCCCATGGGATGATTAATTTCTCCCCCATGTGGCAGGAGCCTGCGTGACCGGCTACAGGGTCTCGCTAGGGATCCTCGGCTTGATTTTGGATGTTTCGTTGGTTCGTCGATCGCTCTCGTTCGCGAGTAAGTCATGGCAGGGTCTGTGGTGGCTGGGTGGGCTAGGTGTGATCGGGAGGGTGCCGAGGCATGAAGTTGTCTTGTACACGAGAGTACGTCTCGTAAGTTAGTCGGTCTTTCGAATAATCGCGATTTCGTTCGGGCGCGTCGCGATTTTCTATTAGCTTGCGTGTTTGATATTTCATTCCCTATTTTTATGGGAACTTGAAAATATCTTAGCGTTGCGACAGTAGAGTTTCAGTATACCGAACCGAAACCCCTTTTGTAAGACACGAAATATAATAAAGTGTCAGTAGAGTCATTTTAACTTAATTCGCTCCAAGTTAGATTAGGGTACCTTTGATACAGGTAGCGCCAGCAGGCTGCGCCACTAGGGCGCATGTCGGGTCTCGATGCGTAGCCACCACCTCGTGGTAAGACCTGGTAATTGGTATCGCTTTCCAAAGAATAATTTTTGGAAAACGATACCAAGCTAAGAG